TTATTATTAATAATAATTAATAATAAAAAGTCACAATAGTAATGCTCAACAAAATAAAGTCATTAATTGTCATTTCCTTATTTAAATTATACCACATTTTGAGTATCTCATAGCGAATTCGACAAACCGCACTAGTGCGCACTGAGTGTGAACTTTTTCAGTGCCACACATTCGGCTTGTGCGCACTGTATCAGTACGTTAAGGCCGGAATCAGATTACGCATTGAATATTGAGATTGAAGATTGAAAGATTAAAATTTGACCAATCGAAACGAAAGGAGCTAAAATTTCTTTGTCCTTATTGGTCAAATTTCAATCTTAAATCTTCAACCTCAATCTTCAATGCGTAGTCTGAATCCGGCTTAAGATTATCGTATTCGGCAAATGAAAACTGACCCAGTGTAGTACTGAATTTATATTCGGATCAACCGAATGAATTGAACGAGTTCAAAAAATGTTGCACTGACGTTTCTAACAGTGCAATTTGGTATAGCACTAAAGTATTTCTGCACTCGCACCATGTCAGGGCAGCATTAGAACGGAGTCAGTGCATGTGTGCCGAATTCGCCATCAGAAAAAACGCTGATTGGCTGATATATTAATATGGCCAGTCACTTGTTCCACCAATCCTCATTGGTTAATTATCTTCTTGCGCAACAGCACACCTCTTCTTTATTACACTATGCTCTCTACTGTCCTGTCATTAAGCCGGAATCAGACTATGCAGTAACCCCTTTTACACCGGTTATACAATTTTCATAAAAAAAAGAGGGGGTAATGTTGGTAGCAACAAAAACCCTTGAGGCACCATAGTTTTATTTTCTAAGGATTGGTAATATTTGCAAGTAGTAATCCGTTAGTTTGCGCCGATCATGGTCAATCGAGTGTAAAAGTAGTGTAATGACATGATAATTCGTGAACTGTTCGCGAACGGCTGTCATCGCGGAGGTTTCGTGTTTTGATAGTTATGTGTATCAAGAGGTTAATAACGTATAGTATTTCAAAGAGTACATAAAAATATTTTGTATTTTATGTTTCAAATATTAAGATTGACAATCAAGCTTATTATCTGAACAACAAAATACAAAAAATGTTTCTATCTTTCCATTTTGAATACTTTTATGCGTTCCGCTGAAATATAAAATACAATTGTATTACAAATATTATGATAAATTGATTGCCATTGCCAATGGAACCCTTAGGACTGCTGTCAGTGATTATCCACTCTGATTCAGGTTTATTTAGATTATACTTCCTTCCACATCTCTTTCTTTTCCTCTCTCTTTCTTCTTTTTCCTCTCTTTCTCTTTAATTTTTCTTTCTTTTCAATCCCTTTTTTTCTATACACAATTTAACACCGTTAATAGTGTTAGACCGAAAACCAATAACTGAAAATAAAATATATAACACAAAGTATCGATTTTTAATGAAATAGTAAGAATAAAGATTTTGTAATGAAAATATTTAATGAAACTTATCTGAGTAATCTCGAAGACGTTATTAACCTCTTGATACACATAAATGTCAAAACACGAAACCTCCGCGATGACAGCCGTTCGCGAACAGTTCACGAATTATCATGTAATTACACTACTTTTACACTCGATCGACCATGATCGGCGCAAACTAACGGATTACTACTTGTAAATATTACCAATCCGTAGAAAATAAAACTATGGTGCCTCAAGGGTTTTTGTTGCTACCAACATTACCCTCTCTTTTTTTATGAAAATTGTCATGTAACCCTTGTGTTGACTTGTGTCAACCTGTGTCATCAAATGGAAAGCACCCTATATATCGAGCCGAAGGCATGGAGCGATCATAAAAATATAAATTTTACTTTAATCAGGATTGCCACAAATTTTTCGTCCCAAAATTTCCTGAGTTTCAATAATACTTATTTTGAAATTTTTCTTGTATTTTCATCCTGATTTGAAAATCGTTAAATATTTTGTTGATAGAGTAATTTAACATAACAGTGTAAATTAATGTTGCTGACACTGCATTTAATTGTTAAGTTTGTAGTATTTTTTGTCCTTTCCTTTTATGTATGAACACGATTCTTTTCCTCTTCCTCTCTTTCGCTTTGCTGCTGTTTATTATCAATAAACAGCAGCAAGAGAAAGAGAGGAGAATATAAGGAACATAAATCAATGACACACATAGTTTCTTTTTTATCAAAACTAAATCCTGTTTATTAAAATCTCAATCTGTTATTATAAAGGCTATTCTTCTTTCCACCACGCATTATCAAGTGGTAGCGCAAGCTGTGAGAGTACATGAGGGCGCGTAACTAAAATTGCATCTCTGTGATATATGTACACATATTTTAAACTTCTTTAGGGCCAATTTCACCAACCACGGTTAGATTAACCGACGGTTAAAGTTAGCAGGGTGACCAACAGACACATATTTTCTCGTAACCTCTTGGCTCTAACCTGAAATTTGTGGGAAGCAGTAAACAGTGTATTATACATGTGAAAAAAAGTCAAACAATTCTAAATAATTTATACGTGGTTTGATTTTACGTGGTCTTCGACGTTTTTCTAAATTGTAACCAGCAAATTCGTCAAAAAATATGTAATTTATAATATCATTAATTTTGTATTCTCACTCACTGATGAAATTTCAGATAGACAAAGCTCCGTAAAATTGACAATATATAAGAGATTACGAGAGAATATGAATGTCTGTTGGCCACCCCTCTGCTAACTTTAACCGTCGGTTAATCTAACCGTGGTTGGTGAAATTGGCCCTTTTAATTTTTCCAGAAAATTTTGCTAAATCCCTGACTTTTCCACGATTTCTCTGACTTGTGGCAACCCTGTTTATAGAAAGAAAATAACTTTGACACCATTCTACAAAAATATAAAATAGATTTTATTCAACTAAATTTAATTGTTTCACATAAATTTTAACAGCACATAGTATATTTTATGCAACAACTGTACAAAAAAGCCTCCAATTTATTCAATTTTCGTATTTTTATGCAATTCTATTTCTTCAAACAATGGGCGAGTTCAAGACGGCAAAGCAGCTATACATGCTTACCGAGCGATTGAATATGATTGGTTGGATTTAGGTATAAGTAACAACCAATTATGTTCATTTGCTCGGCGAGCAAGCTAGCTGCTTTGTCAACTTGACGCGCCCAATAATTCCAATATGTTTCCATTTATCTACTGTCATCGCATGCCAATGAAAGTGAAGCATTTTTCAGCATCAATACTTGTAAATTACACAGTGCTTCTTCCAATCTGAAAAATACAAATACAAATGAATAAATAATATAAATTATACGTGTTAATTTACATATTAATTATATAAATATATATATATATAATAATTATATATATTAATTTAAAATAAGCTAATTAAAAATGATAAAAATAATATTTGCAACGTACTTCTTTTGAAGATTTTGTATTTTGTCATACGTTTCGGTAAAATTCTTCAATTCAGCATTAACAGCACAATACATTTCGCCTTTTGATCCTATTAGATTTACAGTGCTTTTTAAAACATTTGAACATTTATTTAATATTTCCTGAGTCTCTTTCCATTCAGTTTGTGTTTCAGGAAGTATTATGCCATTACATTGCAATACATCCAGAGGTTCCAAGAGAAAGTATAACTTGGATAACATATTTTTTACAATCTTAAATGTTTCATCTTCTGTAAAAAATGTAAATATAAAGAAATAATTTAATTTTTATATATATATATATAAATTTTACCAGTATATTTTGTCACTGCAATCAGTTGAACATCTGCTTCTTTTTGTGCTAAACTTAAATTTATTATATCGCGTTCCCTTGTTTTAATTTTAATCAATTTTTGTGTATCTTGATCAATCTCTTGTGCCAAGGCAGCTATTTGCATGACCATTAGACGCTTTTTCTCTAGAATCTTCTTCTTCATTACGAGATCCATCATTAGAGTTTGTAAATATTCATCATAAAGAAGTCCAAGTTCTAATTCTTCACTGTCCATTTTCTTTTGTGTATCCAACATTATCTGTGATGGCACGATTGGCTGCTTGTCTATAGCAATCTTCTTTCTCGGTACTTCTATATAAGTAACACGATATTAAAATGTAATAACAAATAAAGCAGTATCAAAGAAATTTAATAAAAAAAAGTTGCAAATAAAGCTCTTACTTTGTAACTGTGCAATGTCACTTGGCATCAAGGTTACTCTACTACGAGAAGTGGCTCTAGAAACAAAATGTAAAGTAGGTAAGGTATCCGACAGATTTCTTGCAACGTCTGGTGTACTTGCAGCATTGCGAATTCTACAAAAATATGTGTTGTATTAAACCAGTAAATTAGATGAAATTTGTTATCTAATTTAAATATCATTTGTAACAAAATAATTTTACTTTCGAATAGTTCCTAATTTTGGAGTATTTTTGTGCTCTTCCTGCATTGTTTGTTGCCACAGACTTGATACTTGACTTGAATATTTTTATTATTGTAGAGATATGCTCGTTTTAACTTTTCTTCTCGTTGTTTAGTTTTCTGTTATTTTATTCGTTGTGTTTTCCGTGTTTATTTTATCTTTTCCCTTTGACTCTGTCACCTCTATAGCATATCACATGTCAACACTTGTTGAGATGTATGTATGTACGTAGTACACACATACGTTGAAGTACAAACAATTCTTCTTTATTAAACAGAGAATCTCAGAAACTCCTTGGAACATGGCCCCACAGATCCCATCAGGGCTGCGTTCGGAAATACTACCTGAGTGCTCTCGGATATCGTCTTATTCTTGTTTAATACTGGGTGAATAACAAAGATAAAATGATACACGGGGACACTCGGGTGATGTTTCCGAACGCAGCCCAGTAGGCCTATTCTGTAACTTTTTAACGACAATTTTATTAGCTAGGGATGTCGTTGCGCAGGTATTTTACATGATGAAAAAGTTGCGCAACTACAATATTACGATACTGAACTGTCGTTATAATGGGTGCGTTCAGCAGAGAAAGCAGCTTTGCAACTGTTGTAAAATTCTTCAATACGATTGGTTCTTGCTTTTGGTTCCTGACAGATCTAAATGTATAAACCAATCATATTGAAGAATTTTACAACAGTTGCAAAGCTGCTTTCTCTGCTGAACGCAGCCATTGTCGTTGCGTAGCTTTTTCATCATGTAAAATACCTGCGCAACGACATCCCTAGCTAGTAAAATAGTCGTTAAAAAGTTACAGAATAGACCTATAGGGTCTCTATTCTTGAAAAGAAACGTATACAAAATTCTAGAAAAATACTATAGTATACGTAACGTATACTGTACTCTAGTTTACATCGTGCACTTGATACGGATCCTAACTAGTAACTTTCTATTGAATTATCTTAATTTCGGCGAACTTGTAAACATATACATGATATGTGTATTTAATTAATCATTTTGATGCATATTCTACCTATTTAAGGGCCACTTGAAGCAAACAAAATGACAAATGCGATTAGTCAATTCCGATAGACTAACTGGCCAGTTAAGTTAACTGAGCTTAGTGACAGTGGCCCTAATACATCATTCTTTAAATACATTGCTGAAATTAAAATAATTTAATAGAAAGTTACTAGTTAATACGCGTATCAAGTGCTCGGTGTAAAAGGGGTTTGTGGTATTTCTTTAGGCCGGAATCAGACTACACATTGAAGATTGAAATTTGACCAATAAGGACAAAGAAATTTTTAGCTCCTTTCGTTTCGATTGGTTAAGTTTGAATTTTTCAATCTTCAATCTCAATCTTCAATGCGTAGTCTGATTCCGGCCTTATGCCCGTGTCACACTACGCATTGGAGATTGAGGATTGCGAATTAAGGATTAGAATTCGACCAATCAGGTAATTTTAAGTTTAATCCGTTTCGTTCTAATTGGTTGAATTCTAATCCTCAATTCGCAATCCTCAGTCTCGAATGCGTAGTGTGACACGGACATTAGACTTTCGTATGCGATACTTTTCAAGAATAGACCCCCTGGGCCTCTATTCTTGAAAAGTATCGCATACATAAAACTAGGGAAATACTATAGCACATGTTACATGCACTATAGTATTTCCCTAGTTTGTCGTATGCGATAATAGAGGCCCTGCAGTCTCGTTATGCAATCGTTATGTGCTCATAACGACAGCCGCGCAGATATTTTATATGGTAAAAAAACTGCGCAACTGTCGTTATGAATTCGTAACGACTGCATAACGAATTACAGAATTCCACTACTGGGAGCTTATTACGGTTTTTTTGTGACGAAGTGAAAATTACAAAAATGATCAAATTCACTAGATGTTAACTAATGAAGTTATAAATTCTAGTAAATTCAATCACTTTTGTAATTTTCACTTCGTCACAAGGAACCGTAATAAGCCTCCTCATCCCATTTTTGAAAAGAAACATATACGTTTCTAGAAAACGTTAGAAAAACTAGGAAATACTATAGTGTATATATGTAGCAAATGTAGAGGGTCGATCACAGATTTCTATAGGTTTGTTCGCGTCGCAAGCTACAATATGCTCCAACATGCTCCTACCATAGCTCCTACTCATTCTATCAAGCGCGGAGTGAGTAAGCGCTACGACAGGAGCATATTGGAACACGTTGGAGCATGCGACGTAAACAAATCTTAATGTTTTATAGGCGTAATACTGTAAATAATTATTTTATAAGTATATTAGGTTCCCATTTAAGAGAGAAAAAATTTTTAAGAAATGGATTGAGATGGTTGGGCAAGATAATTTTAAGCCTGCAAAACATAGTGTGATCATTTCACTCCAAATGATTATGAGATAAGACCAGGAGATCGATTTTGTATCTTGAAACGAGGTGAAAATTACAAAAATGAGCAATTTTACTAGAATACTACACTGAAAAAAAAGATTGGCTGCTGCAGCAAATTAGATGATAAAATATGGCATAGCATTTTTAATTGGCTGCATCAGTCAATTTTTGGTTGTGTTAGGCCGGAATCAGACTACGCATTGGAGATTGAGATTATCGATTAAAAATTGAAGATTGTCCGATTACATTATATGATAACGATTTGCATTGCGATTGATAATATCGCTGTAGGTCTATTATTAAATGATACTTATTGAGCTACTTAACCTAAATTTCGACGATTCAGTGCTGTGCAAGTGTGTTTATTGCTTAGAACGTATACTACGTAATATATGTTTTAAAGTTTACTGTCTTTTATACAAACAAGTTGAGACGCAATTAAATTTAAGAAATGCCGCGTATAATAACACGGTCAAATAAAAAGAAGAGAATTACTGCTCTTTTATTTTTAATAATCGCTGAAGAGGAAACTTCATCGAAACAATCGTCGTATATGGACACATCCATATCTTTTAAAGAGGAAGAGGAGAGGCATGCATTATAATCTTTTTACGGAATTGCTTTTCGAAGATCCAGATAGATTTAGACGGTATATAACTCAATTAGAAATTTATTTCTTTAATTTGTTTACGATATACTTGATATGCTAAATACTTTTGTTACAGATGCCTTCGAATGAATAGCACTTTATTTGAAGATCTTTTAGAAAAAGTAACTCCTTTTATTAAAAAACAGGATACACATTTGAGACAAAGCATTTCACCTGCTGAGAGGTTGTCTCTCACCCTACGACATCTTGCAACAGGTAACTCGAAATTTTTTAGACTTGAAATGTGCATCAGTAATGAAAATATAAGTAATGTTTCAAAGAATGTTATTTTATTTTTAGGGGAAAGTCAGGAATCTCTTCGTCTCACATTTCGGATTGGTCAGAGTACTATTTCAGGTATCATTAAGGAAGTATGTACTGTGATTATTCATATACTACGTGAAGACTATCTTAGAATGCCATCATGTGAGGATGAATGGAGAGTCGTAGCTAATGATTTTGGTCATCGTTGGAATTTCTATAATTGTCTTGGAGCCATGGATGGCAAACATTTTAAAATTGATCCACCATTACAGTCAGGATCATTATATTATAATTATAAAGACAGTTTTTCTGTTGTATTACTGGCTGTTGTGGATGCACAACTTAGATTCATATATGTAGATATTGCAACAAATGGCAGAATAAGTGATACAGGCATATGGAACAAAAGTAGTCTGAAAGCCCATCTTGATAATAATAGCTTAAATATTCCTGCACCAACACCTTTGCCTAATACAGATAAAGAATTTCCATTTGTATTCGTTGGAGATGAAGGTTTTCCTTTAAGTACAAAGGTTCTGATACCTTATTCGCGAGATACATGCGGGAACAAAGATAAAAGGATATTTAACTACAGGTAAATTTTTATTGTTCGTGCAAGCATTCATTTTTTTGTATATGTATTTTTCAAAATATGTGTTACTTTATAAAATTATTTTCTGTTATAGATTATCCAGAGCGCGTAATAAATCTGAAAACGGTTTTGGAGTCATGGGAACAAGATTCCAAATTTTTAGATCAGCGATGCGTTATGACCCTGATGACGCATCAAAAATTATATTAGCTTGCTGCTGTCTACATAACATGTTGAGAACTGAAGTAGTAGGAAGACATATGTATACTCCTCCTGAATTTATTGACGAAGAAGATGAACTCCTACACAGATTTCACCCAGGGGAATGGCGGCAAGAGCCTGCTCTTGGAATGATAAATTTGAGAAATCAAGGAGGCAATCGTCATGCTAATGCTGCCTTACAACTCAGAGATGAATGGTGTAATTATTTCAATGGAGAAGGAGCTGTTCCATGGCAAGACTATATGATAAATAAATGAATACTTTCCTTTATTCAATGTTTACAATATCATATTTTATTAATAGTTTCATAGTTTTATTAATTCATAGTTTATTTTACTGCTCTCTTAATAAAAAAAATAATTTATAACAAAACAGATATGTAATAACAATAAATGAATAATAAAACTTTGGTTTCTACGTATCCCATGTAACTATATCTATTCTATTAATTGAAATCTGTGACATCACCTCTTTTTATATCACACATAATATTCATATATATGGTAAAGTAAAACTTTTCATATCACAACTTGCCATATTATATATAATACTTATCTATAAATCAAAACTTATTTGTATCACATATAATGCAATATAACTAAAAATTACATTTTATCTTTTTAAAAAATTGAAATTTAATATCTTTATATCAAAATATATTAACATAGATAAAAATATGTATTAAGGATACTTTTCGTATTATATACAGGGTGTCCCATTTTAATGTTCCACCCCAAATAACTTTTATTTTTTTCTAAGATCAAAAATAAAAATTATTTGGGGTGGGACATTAAAATGGGACACCCTGTACAATACTCATCTATAAACAAAAACTTATTTATATCACAATGTTTTGTATCATATAATGGGATATACTTTGGTAATCAAAAAGATTTTTTTAAAGCTGAAATTTGATACCTAAATATCAAAATTATTAATATAAAAAAAATATATTAATGAT